TTTTCACTTAGTTTATTCCAGCTCTAAGAATACAAAAATATAATATGGTTTTGATTGGCATGTAACAAAATGTATTTGCAGGCCTCATGAAAAGCGTGACCATAGTATGAATAATGAGACCTTTAAAGGGAATTTTTAAGTGGTTCTGTGATCTCACATGGCACTTTTTCAGACTTGGTGGTCGATGGCACACGAAGAGAGAGTTACAAATATCAATTGTCTTACATGACTGATGGCATGATTTTTATGGAATGATTTTTATGGAATGATAAGAGCAAGAAAAAAGCATAATTTTGCAAAAAAATTAAGTTGTATATTCAGGTACGGTGTATAGTCAGGGCCACCCAGGGAAAAGGGGGGGCATAAGGGAAAATTTGCTAGGGTGAGGGAAAAAAGTATTTGATCCCCTGCTGATTTTGTACGTTTGCCCACTGACAAAGAAATGACCAGTCTATAATTTTAATGATAGGTTTATTTGAACAGTGAGGGACAGAATAACAACAAAAAATCCAGAAAAATGCATGTCAAAAATGTTATCAATTGATTTGCATTTTAATGAGGGAAATAAGTATTTGACCCCCTCTCAATCAGAAAGATTTCTGGCTCCCAGCTGTCTTTTATACAGGTAACGAGCTGAGATTAGGAGCACACACTTAAAGGGAGTGCTCCTAATCTCAGCTTGTTACCTGTATAAAAGACACCTGTCCACAGACGCAATCAATCAATCAGATTCCAAACTCTCCACCATGGCCAAGACCAAAGAGCTATCCAAGGATGTCAGGGACAAGATTGTAGACCTACACAAGGCTGGAATGGGCTCAAGACCATTGCTAAGCAGCTTGGTGAGAAGGTGACAACAGTTGGTGCGATTATTCGCAAATGGAAGAAACACAAAAGAACTGTCAATCTCCCTCGGCCTGGGGTTCCATGCAAGATCTCACCCCGTGGAGTTGCAATGATCATGAGAACGGTGAGGAATCGGCTTAGAACTCCACGGGAGGATCTTGTCAATGATCTCAAGGCGGCTGGGACCATAGTCACCAAGAAAACAATTGGTAACACACTACGCAGTGAAGGACTGAAATCCTGCACCGCCCGCAAGGTCCCCCAGCTCAAGAAAGCACATATACATGCCTGTCTGAAATTTGCCAATGAACATCTGAATGATTCAGAGGACAACTGGGTGAAAGTGTTGCGGTCAGATAAGACCAAAATGGAGCTCTTTGGTATCAACTCAACTCGCCGTGTTTGGAGGAGGAGGAATGCTGCCTATGACCCCAAGAACACCATCCCCACCGTTAAACATGGAGGTGGAAACAGTATGCTTTGGGGGTGTTTTTCTGCTAAGGGGACAGGACAACTTCACCGCATCAAAGGGACGATGGACGGGGCCATGTACCGTCAAATCTTGGGTGAGAACCTCCTTCCCTCAGCCAGGGCATTGAAAATGGGTCGTGGATGGGTATTCCAGCATGACAATGACCCAAAACACGGCCAAGGTAACAAAGGAGTGGCTCAAGAAGAAGCACATTAAGGTCCTGGAGTGGCCTAGCCAGTCTCCAGACCTTAATCCCTTAGAAAATCTGTGGAGGGAGCTGAAGGTTCGAGTTGCCAAACGCCAGCCTCGAAACCTTAATGACTTGGAGAAGATCTGCAAAGAGGAGTGGGACAAAATCCCTCCTGAGATGTGTGCAAACCTGGTGGCCAACTACAAGAAACGTCTGACCTCTGTGATTGCCAACAAGGGTTTTGCCACCAAGTACTAAGTCATGTTTTGCAGAGGGGTCAAATACTTATTTCCCTCATTAAAATGCAAATCAATTTATAACATTTTTGACATGCGTTTTTCTGGATTTTGTTGTTATACTGTCTCTCACTGTTCAAATAAACCTACCATTAAAATGATAGACTGATCATTTCTTTGTCAGTGGGCAAACGTACACAATCAGCAGGGGATCAAATACTTTTTTCCCTCACTGTATGTACCTTACACAGCAAAGACAACCCTACAGCAGGGGCTGTTTTTTGTCGTTATTGAATGAGGGTACCTACGTAGAATTTATCCCTGGGACTTTAGCCCCTTCCCTCGCCCTCCGTAAACCTATTGGAGGCCCTGGGTATAGATCTTGGTGCGTGCTGTAATGTACACGGTATATTATGTGTTTTAAGTTATCTATAAATGTTTCCAGCAATTTGTGTGCATGCAAGCTTTTTTTGTGTATCCATGCACAGCATTGCGTACTTGCAAAAAAAACCAGTTCTGCAAGATTACATTTTTTGTTGTCAAATATCTTAGCCGTTTTGTCTGTAGATTTAACAGAAGCCTTGCAAACGTCCGTGCCTGTATCCTTGCTGGTGTGTCACGTTTAATTAATCGAGATCAAGTGATGCCATCACACCCGGCTTTTGCTATATTACTTGACCACCAATTCGTACCAGTATTCTATCTTAATTTGGATTCACCAACCTCTGGGTGCCACTTTTTCTGCTTGTATTGGTAACCCACGCACTCCTCCATCCTTCACACGTGCCCCGTCTGTCACAGCCTCTTCTTCCAGATTACATCTACAGCACTGTGTTGCCGCATTCTATTCCAAACTTACAAATTGCTTCCCTGTGCTGAAATAACACATGGCATCCTCTGCATGGACATGGATTCAAAGGCCAGAAGCTGAAGTTCAGCGTGGGTCTCAGATTTTTTTGTCGGACAAGACCGCTGGGATAGTGCACATGAGCTGTATCCATAGAAAGACAGCTTACGTGCACCATCCCACACAGTCGTAGTGATTTTAGCAATTGCAGCCTTCAAACTGTTAGTTTGACACGTAGGCTTTGGCGATCAATATTATTCATAATTAAGGTTTTTTTGGTTTAGATTGTGTAAGTATAAATGTGTTGTTAAACCTGCCACCACTCGACATGGCCATTTAGTAAGGTTTGTCACGTAAACGAAACGTGCCAACTATTTACTACTTCAGCCCACAGGTGTGTTGGAGAATTCTGGCAAAATCGCCCGATGACGCTGGATGTACTTACCAGCAAAACGTCGTACTCAAATTGAATGTTGTGGCTTTACTTTCCAACACACCGGTGTGCTGAAGAAGTAACTAATTGCCACGTTTTGTTTACATGAGGAACCTTACTAATTGTCTGTGCGGGTGGAGGCGGTTTAGCCACGCATTTATACTTAGGTGATCTAACAATAAAAAAACTGTATTCATATTGTTAGTTGAGCGCTGTAAAATTCAGCCTTTGTCCATCCACCACTGGATGAGGGCCTCCCCGTGCGGATTATGATGGTTGTTTGTCCATACTTCACGCTAGTCATGATGGGTTGGTGAAGGCTTGGAGCATAGATTTGGGAACATATAAAGAGTACAACGATGGATTTTGCTTGACTGCTGTCTGCTTTTAACGACAGCCCCACGTCCGCTTAACATTTTTTATATATGGTCGGTCACCTATTTGAGCAATGCAAGCTCCATCCTGCTTAGCTTCTGAGATCTAATGAGATGGATTGTATTCTGGATAATTTGTCATCTATACTGTGGTATCTACTGTACATACATTGTGCATGTTTTTTTTTATCGCGTGTGTTTGCGTATCAGTGTTGTCATCTGCTTGTGGGTGCCTTTTTATTTATTGTGCACGAATCGGCCTAACTGTGAGTTTAGGTGTGTTTATTTTAGCCGTGGTCGTGTATAGCATTTGTGAGCGAGTGTTTGGCTAGTGTTCAGTACGCTCAGCACTTAACCTGCAGGGGTGTTACGATGCAGATATTTTAAATCGATTCTCAAGCTCACGATACATGCATGGAGTCAAGTGTAAGAAATTATATTTTTTGACTTTGTATATATGCTATATGTAATGGATTCAGATGACCCCTCCAGCCACTGCAGAATGTTATATTCACAACAATGTTATGAATATGATTACCGAATCGAATCACTATTCTAAATTGTGACAGTTCATTGAATTGCAAGGGAACATTTGGACAAATGATATGTTAATATTCTAATACCAATGTTCAGTGATATACTGATGGAACATTTAGACTTATGGAGCGAATAAAACTACAAACGAGAGAGAGGAAAAAAACCATAACAAATACAAATGATGATGGTAAAAACAGTGATGAAAATAATCCATTCTTGAAATTCAAGTTGCAGAATTTTCTGAAGTGGCATTGCCATATCACGCAAATTGTTGTAAGGATGGATTGTCCGAGTCACCTGGTGGCCAGGTGACTCGGACAACAGTCACTGCTGAGTCGTGCCTACGTTAAAAAATATATTGCATAATAGCGATTATGAGCTTGTTTATTGATGCCATAGCCTACTTTCTAATGTTTTACAGTGACTTACAGCTAAAACAAAAAAATCCTCGTAACTATATAAACACTTCTGCAGGTCTGCTACCTTTGTTAAATAATAATTTGAAGCCCTCGCTTCGGTTTAAGATAATTGTTAACTCACCTGCTGATGTGGCTATAGTATACCGTGCTTCTGGCGTTTTACAGCTTGAGCAAAGTAACAGCTTTGGTTCTTTCGGTAAAGTCACGTAGAAAGGTTCAAAGAAAATAACAAAAACCTGCGACGTTTCGATTGCAACACAAGGACCATCACTGCCCACTACTACCATCACCTCTCGCAGCAACCTCCACCGTCACCAGTGTGTGTATAAAGCTCGGTGCAATGATTACCAGACAGCCCTTTTAATTGGTGGAAACCCACCACCAGCACCATCATTGCCTACGACTACCATCACCTCTTACACCGCCCCACATCACCTTCCAGCACCGCCCCACGTGCTGGGGCACAACGTTTTTAATCCCTTACATTAACATTAGCTACCCCGCCCATGCTGCTGACACTTGGGATACGCCCATTTTAAACCTTTATAAACAGTTTGCCTTTAGAGGCTAACCCCCATTTCCTGATTACGACCGCTTGTGTTGCGATCGAAACGTAGTTTTTTGTTATTTTCTTTGAACCTATCTATGTGACTTTACCGAAAGACCCAAAGAATATGAATTCCTGCAGTCACGAAAGCTTTAAGTCAAGTAGAGGTGCAATATGTTGCCTTGCAAAAGTGTTGTACTTGACAAGAAAGTCAGATAGTAGTGGGGGGGGGGGGTGCATTATGTAACTTTGTTTTGACAACAGGCTGTAAAGGGTGAAACAAACATTTAAAAAGTTCTTAGAAACAAATAGAATAACTGATCATAATATGCGCACGTTGTTTCTAGCCGTTCCATTGACCTTGGCATAATTCACTTGTTTTTTTATATGTCCAAGTATTAAATCGGTTCTCTCATGCATTGCACATTTTGCGACAGGAACTGACTTTTTGTTTGTTTCATTTAACTTTTTAACATTGGTGTTTTCATACAACCAATATGATTCATTTGTTTTTTGGATTACATCATGTGGGCGTAGCTCGAATTGACATAGTATCTACGCTGTAATCCAGTAACGAATTATGAATCGTTCGTTGGTATTTGCCTATGTTCCGGGTTAACCACGTATATAAAAAAAAATGTTTATCAGATATATTTGGCACATCCCCATATCTACAGAACCACTAAGTTTCCTGTCAAAATATGTGGCTGGGTGACTTCGGGGATAAATATTGTTTATTTGGCATAGCATTACACTGCACTGTCGAAAATGACTTATCGTTTTGCTTGTTTATCAAGCCTTGAGTCTCTGTACAGCCTTTAATGAGGATCCTGCCAAGTTCACAGTCGGGGGCGCTATTGCTATGCGTAACTCCAATCGAGTCGTTTGCAGGTATTTTTCAGCACTGGGAGGTGTGACCCATTGTCAATTATATCCTAAATAACTTTTGTTAGCTATGGGAGGAAACCCATTCAGAACAGGTGGAGAACATACAAACTCCACTCAGGCACCCCAGTCACGAATCTCACCCGGTACCTTCCTGCTGTGAGGCACAAGTGTTACCATTGTGCTACGTTGTTGCCGTGAAGTATTTGTACATTAACCCTTTTTTGTTCCGAGACGTCTGCAAGTTGCAGCGTGAGGGGTCCCGTTCCCCTCTGAATCTCTGAACGCGAAAGCGGCTCCACGTTAATTTTACTTAGAGGCATAGCACTCCATGATATCTGGCGCCAAACTGTGCCACATGCCCTCTCCTGCATTGCCTTGTGGGAGGCCCGGTACCAATAAAGTTATTTTATGTGAGTTTTTCTTCCGGTTTCGTTTTGATGATGTACATATATAGTGAGGGAAAAAAAGTCTTTGATCCCCTGCTGATTTTGTACGTTTGCCCACTGACAAAGAAATGATCAGTCTATAATTTTAATGGTAGGTTTATTTGAACAGTGAGAGACAGAATAACAACAATAAAATCCGGAAAAACGCATGTCAAAAATGTTAAGAATTGATTTGCATTTTAATGAGGGAAATAAGTATAAGACCCCTCTGCAAAACATGACTTAATACTTGGTGCAAAACCCTTGTTGGCAATCACAGAGGTCAGACGTTTCTTGTAGTTGGCCACCAGGTTTGCACACATCTCAGGAGGGATTTTGTCCCACGCCTCTTTGCAGATCTTCTCCAAATCATTAAGGTTTCGAGGCTGACGTTTGGCAACTCGAACCTTCAGCTCCCTCCACAGATTTTCTTTGGGATTAAGGTCTGGAGACTGGCTCGGCCACTCCAGGACCTTAATGTGCTTCTTCTTGAGCCACTCCTTTGTTGCCTTGGCCGTGTGTTTTGGGTCATTGTCATGCTGGAATACCCATCCACGACCCATTTTCAATGCCCTGGCTGAGGGAAGGAGGTTCTCACCCAAGATTTGACGGTACATGGCCCCGTCCATCGTCCCTTTGATGCGGTGAAGTTGTCCTGTCCCCTTACCAGAAAAAACACCCCCAAAGCATAATGTTTCCACCTCCATGTTTGACGGTGGGGATGGTGTTCTTGGGGTCATAGGCAGCATTCCTCCTCCTCCAAACACGGCGAGTTGAGTTGATGCCAAAGCGCCCCATTTTGGTCTTATCTGACTGCAACACTTTCACCCAGTTGTCCTCTGAATCATTCAGATGTTCACTGGCAAATTTCAGACGGGCATGTATATGTGCTTTCATGAGCAGGGGGACCTTGTGGGCGCTGCAGGATTTCAGCCCTTCACGGCGTAGTGTGTTACCAATTGTTTTCTTGGTGACTATGGTCCCAGCTGCCTTGAGATCATTGACAAGATCCTCCCGTGTAGTTCTGGGCTGATTCCTCACCGTTCTCATGATCATTGCAACTCCACGAGGTGAGTTCTTGCGTGGAGCCCCAGGCCGAGGGAGATTGACAGTTATTTTGTGTTTCTTCCATTTGCGAATAATCGCACCAACTATTGTCACCTTCTCACCAAGCTGCTTGGCATTGGTATTGTAGCCCATTCCAGCCTTGTGTAGGTCTACAATCTTGTCCCTGACATCCTTGGAGAGCTCTTTGGTCTTGGCCATGGTGGCGAGTTTGGAATCTGATTGATTGATTGCTTCTGTGGACAGGTGTCTTTTATACAGGTAACAAGCTGAGATTAGGAGCACTCCCTTTAAGAGTGTGCTCCTAATCTCAGCTCGTTGCCTGTATAAAAGACACCTGGGAGCCAGAAATCTTTCTGATTGAGAGGGGGTCAAATACTTATTTCCCTCATTAAAATGCAAATCAATTTATAACATTTTTGACATGCGTTTTTCTGGATTTTTTGTTGTTGTTATTCTGTCTCTCACTGTTCAAATAAACCTACCATTAGAATTATAGACTGATCATTTCTTTGTCAATGGGCAAACGTACAAAATCAGCAGGGGATAAAATACTTTCTTCCCTCACTGTACGTCATTGGAATGGAATCGGAAGAAAAACTGCAACGTGAAAGGGTTATTATGAAAAGATGAATTTGTCGCCCTCTTTAAATGACCGCTTGGCAGTGCTCATATCTGTTGGCAGTTCTGAGCCTAAGAATGAAATTTCCACATTCCTAAGGCAAGGGCACAATATGTAAATGTGTTTTTTTAGATCTATTTCGACAAAAGCGGTAGTGATCGTAAATTGCTGCAGCCTGAATAAATAAAGCTTATTTACTTAAAAATGAAAGTGTTTTCTGAGGGTTAAATAAGGTTACCGTCTACTATGTCATTGCTAATGTGAAATTTTTGTTCTTGCAGGGCTTTTTCCGAGCATTGATCCTGGTAGGGTTTGTGTTGTTTCACATCACTTATTGCATCGATTCATAACACTGCACTAGTTTTCTCATTCACTGATACAAAGTTGTTATCGCAGCACTCCCATGCAGAGATTGGAGGTGAAATTTTACGTCGGTGTTCTTTTTCCCCATCTCATTTAACGTAAAATCGTCATTTATTCTATCGTTTTTCAACACTTGCTCGTGCCTTTCGGTTTACCGATGGCATTTAGACACAATATATGGCAGTGCTGAATTGCTCCACGTGTTGTTCTTTCCTTGAGTGTTAAATATTTCCTGTGGGTCACACCTTCGGTAATTAGCGTAATCAATTTACGGAGCGTTAACAAATGAACACCCGAGGGCATTGCATTTCACCATGGAGGAGGCCGAGGTGATAAATACTTGTTGGTGTCGCGAGCGGTCTTCTTTTGCCCTCGATCTTTTAAGCTAATTGTATTGAATGTAAAACAAAAATGTCAAAAGTGCAATCGGTTTCCCACTAAAACTAGCTGGGGGCAGTGGTGAAATTACACATTTCTAAAGCGCGGGGGGGGGGGGGTGGAGGTGAGTTAAATCCTTATCGCAATGATTGTTGATTGGCCAAAATTGATTTTCAATCCATGAGCTTCGATGAGTTGAGTCAACTCCCGATTTGAACTGTTGAGCTTTTCCGATTGCAAGCTGTGCTTTAAACCACTTTGCTACCTGACCAGATTAATTTACTTCGATGCAGCATGTGCGAGGCTTAGGAATGCTGTAATGAATGTCTGTAATTCATTTACTGGTTCCTGCCTCCCTCCTGTTAAGCTCCTCGCTAACACCACTCTCCTTCCTCTATGCCTACATTAGTGTCAATGTAGTCAGCTTGTTTTATTTTAGTTATGGTCTTAGACTTGTCAATGATAACCTGTGGAAATTTTCACTTCATAATCTGGATTTAATTTAATAATTTATTTAATATTTTTAACGAAAGCAGACAAAATGTTGTCCATGATTAGCTATCAAAATTTGCCACACACAAATATTATCAACCAATCGGTGAACTCTTTTTACAGTGGCTACATATTTATATATCCATTACCAATTCATGAATTCCTCATTGCACTAAAGTTTAATGATTTTGCTAAGTTATAACAAGTGCATCTTAATTCAGACAAGTGAATACATTTTTTTCAAATTTGGCAAATGTGGACCGAGATATTTGAACCCAAAGTCACTTATCCTCTGGACGTTCCATCTTATTCAAAGACAAGACGACCCTGTCATTCTTCCCCAAACGTGCCTGTTCGACTCTGCTCTCTATGTCTGGGCTGTGCGCACAGGCGCCCTGGAGAACATGCTGGCTATGAAGCCGCCACAGCTGGAGGTGTACGAGCAGCCTAAGTCGCGCGGCATGCGCTTCCGCTACGAGTGCGAGGGCCGCTGTGCAGGCAGCATCCTGGGAGATCGAAGCACGGACAGCAACAAGACCTACCCGGCCGTCAAGGTGAGACACCCGACAAACCATCAGACGGTGAGACACCTGACGAACCGTTAAGGTGAGAACCATTACGGTGACCTCCTGACGAACCCTCAAACGGTGAGACACCTGACAAACCATTAAGGTGAGAACCATTACGGTGGGACTCCTGACAAACCCTCAGACGGTGAGACACCCAACGAAACCATCAGACGTCAACATACATACGTCAACATATTGTCTTGATGATGAACTCTCGGATGATGGCATAACACAGGTATGTGCAGGTATCAGTCATATGTGGGACCTGATTTGCCAGGATCACAATATTATCAGAGCATTTTTGCTGGCATGTTTTGCCACAAGTATGCGTGGTTAATGCAGACTTGATGCTTTGCAATAGGTATCTATTTGGTGTTTGAACATCTTAATACCTGTATTCTTAGCTCTTTCGGTAAAGTCACGTTGAAGGGAAACAATAAAATATATATAAAACAATAAAAAATTCTCACGACGTTTCGACCATAACACAAACGGTCGTCATCAGGTGTGTCGGTTTGCATAAATTTATTTTTAAACGGTGTATTTATTTATAAAAAAACGTCAGCGCCACGCGCAGCGATTTGGCAGTTTATTTAGAAGGACGAGTCCATCTATGTTCTGAAAAGAGGAGGGGGTAGACGAAAAATTAATGTATGCTGTCTGAAAGCCACTGTAAGCGTGAACAATCAATTAAGACCTGAAATGGTTTATCAAATTTTTCTAATGATTGCTAAGCCAGAATCCATCTTCTCGGTTGAAATTGTCTCTGTGCTTGTATATGTGGATAGCCTCATGAACGAATCTCTCATGGTAGTCAGATGGCTTACAAAGAACCTCTGTCTTGGAAAAGTCAATGTCATGTGAGCCTACTGAATTATAACAAATCGCTGCGCGTGGCGCTGACGTTTTTTTTTATAAATAAATACACCGTTTAAAAATAAATAAATTTATGCAAACCGACACACCTGATGACGACCGTTTGTGTTATGGTCGAAACGTCGTGAGAATTTTTATTGTTTTATATATATTTTAATATTTTAATATTTTATTGTTTCCCTTCAACGTGACTTTACCGAAAGAGCTAAGAATATGAATTACTGCAGTCACGAAAGCTTTAAATCAAAATCTTAATACCTGCTTTATTGGCAGAATGGTTAAAGCCTATTCCTATTTTCTTTCATCAATCATTTTTTTTATTTTACGTGCCAATATCGCCCTCGGTAAAATACGCGTCGGTGCACATTTAAACGGAACGGGAAGGGTACGGGGAGCATACAGCAACAGGAATGAAAACAGAAACCCTGTCACGCCCTCAGCGGCTAACACCGACTGAGCAAGGTAAATTGCAACCGCGCGCAAAATAAAGTGCAACCATGACATGATGATGATGGTGATGATGATACCCTCCAAGGTGGCACCCCACCACAAGAACACCCTCCCAAATGAAGCCCTACCGCCGCTATGAACGTGCCAATGTGCCGTTTTGACACCGCCAGATAATTCCCCATCATGCCCAACACGCGCTGTCTCGACGACGCGCTGTCAAGTGAAGGAGGGCCTTGCCACAAACAAACAGCACTTTCGTGATTTTCATGCCTTGCTCCACGAATGCGCTTTCATGAAGACACGCTATCACATGACGTCAGACCACGGCAACGTGCCGTGTTGATGACGAACTTTCAGGTGGCGCGACATCACAGCAGTACGCTGGCATGATTTTGCACTTGAAGGTGAAGTGTTAGCACAGCGCCCGGCATGTAAACTTCCATTATCTTAAAATGATTTATATAGCGCCTTATCCAAGGCGCTTTACACAAAATTAACAATCGTACAGATGAATGTAATGGTGGGGATGAGGTGAATGAAATAGATGAGAGCAAACATTGGGGGAAAAATCTGTGATGCGTGAATTGGGTGAAAGCGAAATTGATTACAGTAAATGATGACGAATGGATTGAATGAATGAGGAATGAGCGATAGCCGTATAATGAGAATATGAAGAGGGAAAAGTAACGGTGGTGGCGGTTATGAGGGGGAGATTAAGGGGTCATGGGGTGAGCTATGGAAATTAGGTGAGTTTTGAGCGCGTAGCGGAAACTAGAAAGCGACGGTGACTTGAATGTGGATCTTGATACGGGTTGGGGGGACGATTCGTCACATTCTTAACGTTGACAGCCTCACGATCTGCCATGTGTGTGTTGAGTTTGAGATTTGCGTTTGTCCACGAGGCTAAGTTATTGAGTATTGAGTTGACCGAACGACTTATCGCCGCAGCTGGTGAACTGCACTGGGCCGGCCAAGGTGCGCGTGTCGCTCGTGAGCAAGAATGACCCGCACCGGCCTCACCCGCACAGCCTGGTAGGGAAGGACTGCTCGGATGGTGTGTGCGAGGTGGACGTCTCCTCGGGGGTCACCATCGTGCAGTCAGTACTGGTGCACTGCACTCAAAACGCACAGAACAGTGCATACCACACACGCTGGACCCGATACACAAAAACGCCGCACTGTACAAACACGCCACATGCCAAACGCGGCACACGGCACACGGCACACGTCACGGAGACACACTCTGTTGGGCACACAACGTGCCACACACTGTTCTGGATACAACACACTTCCCTCAATAGATCACACACTGCACAATGCAGCACACAGAACACAGTGCGCAACACAGACGATGCTGCACACAGCACACTATACACCAAAAACAGCACTTAACTCGCCACACAAAACACTGTACACTTAACACTGCACCCAGCACGCGTCATATGACGTGCTGCACACAATACACCACACACAGCACTTGACACATGAAATGCCACGCAATACAATGCGGCCACTCACACGGTACTCAAAAGATCACATTGCATACAACGAGCTACGCACATCGCATAACACACCAGACACGAAATGGCACAGCACAATAGGATAAACCACATAAAAACTAAATAAATTGGCATGGTCTTGAGACTCAAGAGGGGCTTTCCCAGGAAAACAATAAATAAATATATCAGCATACTTCCTAGTTAGGAGTTGAATCTGCTTATCGTCCCTCCGGAATCAATAACACGAGTACCGCTTCGTGGAAAGTTTACACCGCACAGTTTTGGAGTTGACGCGGCCTAGCCATGAGCGCGCTCCATTCGCCGCTTGTGTAGAGGTTCACAGTTCGATTCCAGCGGCCACCCTGGTTATTGCTTGCGGGTGTATTAACTTTCAAAATACACGCCACGTGATTCGCAGTGGACAGAGCAGGCCAGTTTACGCTGGCATCGTGGTCTCAATTTGCCAAGTTTCACAATTATGACCCAAAAATTAATCACTTGGAATATGACATGGCAATCGCCGTCCCACCGTCTGTGAAAGCTTGGCAGAACCCTCCTGAAAAGAACATTTATGCCACTGCCTCAGTGTGCTTGCTCGTTAAAGCAATTAGACACTTTGAATTTTATATCAGTGTTTAGGTATGTATTTCTAACTCTCTCGCACCGTACGTAGCCAACCGTGCTAGTCGGAGGTGCGGGATACAATTTGTTCTCAAAACAACGCTCTGTGTGCATAGTCTTTCATATCAATAATAATAATGTCCTGTTTGCCTAGTGTTTCTCAACGGTGTTCCCCAAAAACTCTGTTCTAGGTTCCAAAATCTGGGCATTCAGTGCGTTAAGAAGAAAGAGGTTGCGGATGCCCTGAAGCTGAGACTCCAGAAGAACGTGAACCCTTACAAAGGTAACGCATGATCCTGTACACCCGCTTTCCAGCGATCTATTATGCTTTACAGCCATAGAATTATAACAACAAAAAACAAAGCAGATGGGGTGCGCGAGCACGTGTGGGATGGCCCATTGCCTCCGTACCTTGTGCATAGCCGTCCAATGCTCACCGAGCTGCATTGGCTTCTGGTTGCCAAACTGTTGCATAAGGTCGCACTCATTACACACACACAGTGCTTGCCATAATGAACCAACATACCTTGCTTATCTCGCCAAGGAGCGTAAACCATCACGCGAGCTCTGGTTATCCTCACAGCAGACTGGTCACTGCAGCGTATGCTTTCAGATGCGCTTTCGTGGTCATCTGGAATGGTCTTTGTACCGATATTAGGAATCCGCTATAGCTGTGCACTTTTCAATCTAGATTGGAAACTAATTTCTTTCAAACTGCGTTTCACGTTCAGTTTGTTGTCCTCAAACCCGCGCCTCCCGAGTTAGCACGGTTGGCGACGTACGGTGCGAAAGACGTTCTACATACATACGTACCTTGTCTGCTGGCCGCAGTTTCAGAGGAGCAGGCCCTGGGTACAGAGGAGATCGACATGAACGTGGTGCGGCTCTGCTTCGAGGCATTCATCCACGAGCGTGGTCGCGTCATTGCCCTGCCACCCATCGTCTCCCAGGAGATCAGAGACAAGAGTAAGCCGCCTCTCTCTTTAGCTCTTTCCGGGGAACGTCGGTACCACGTTTTTCGGCGACAAAAGGCACTCGTTCACGACGTGGAAAAAAAATGCCTTGATGTGTATTGTGGCCTGTGTAACATGGGGAGAGGCACTGGGGTCCGTGGGTCTTGAGTTTGGGGGGGCCCCCCCATACCAAACCACTGCTTTTAATGCATTAGCTCAGTGTAACGTGAGGACATGAAAATGCCTGCAGAGATCCAATATGGGTAAACCTTTAATATAACGTTGTGTTATGAAGAATAACTTGCCTGATAGAAAACCGGCCATATTTTATCAATGGTTACCCAAAAAATGAGTACGCTTTTTGCTCCGATCGCGACCAGTCACCCGCTTTCCTAGTGATAAAAGACGAGCACTTTTTTTTAAGTGTCACAGAATCCATTAGCTAGGCATTATTTTTCCTAACTTGTTTTTTTCCTGCAGAGGCACCGAACGTCTCGGAGTTGAAAATTTGCCGTGTCAACTTGAATGCTGGCAGTGCACGTGGTGGGGATGAGGTTTTCCTTTTGTGTGACAAAGTTCAGAAAGGTCAGTATGGATGTACTCCCCACCCCCCCCCCCCAGCCTCGTTTTGGTTGTGATTCAAAGATCACATCTGTCATATAAATATAATTGATGTTGCTATAAGAAAATTGTTGTTGCTACCAATGGTGTTATTAGTAGTGCTTATCATTTGTCAGTTTAACACGTAGGCTTTCGCGACCAATATTATTCATAATAAAGGTTTTTGGGGTTAGATTGCGTTATTTATAAATGTGTCGTAACCCTTCACCACCCGACACAGCCAAACAGTAAAAAATGTCACGTTTACAAAGGACAAATAGTTCACTACTTTAGCCCACTGGTGTGTTGAAGAGTGAATCAACATCATTTATCATTTGTGTTGCTCGTAGCAAGAATTTTCAAGATGGGATTTCCATACCCAGTGGAGCCGATTTAGGAATCGTATCATGCAGAACAACACTTTTCACTTGTCTTTGCATCTTGACTGTCGGTGTCGCCATTCACTGGACTTCGTCATTCTTAACATTTGGCAATTCACGCTCGATGTTAAGAATCACGAAGTCCCAGTGGACAGCAACACCGAGCGTCAAAAAAAAAAGCATTCTTTACTGAGAACGTAATTGAGCTTCCTTCGTTTCCGCGTGCAATGAGCAGAAGACATCGAGGTGCGCTTCTTCGAGCCGGATGGCAGCTGGGAGTCGCGCGGCAGCTTCTCGCAGGCCGATGTCCACCGGCAGGTGGCCATCGTGTTCCGCACACCGGCGTACCGCGACCCGGGCATCACGCGTCCCGCCAGCGTGCGCATGCAGCTGCGACGGCCGTCGGATGGAGAAGCCAGCGAGCCGATCGAGTTCCGCTACATCCCAGTCGATCCCGGTGCGTCCTGCCGATCGGACGCATTTTGGGATGGCGCGTTTTTTTTTTTTATCATCATGGTCGTTTGCAAGATCATCGATTATCCGGCTTCTTCCAACATTATCCGGTGGTCCTGGCGAAACCTGCAAAACCGCTCCAAAGGCTGTAACTAGTCCGGCGATCAGCACCATGTGTGTGACAAAAAAAGTAGCTATACTTGATTTCGGTGTTAAATATTTGGTACAGTACATTATACACTACATACAACTGGAAACAATGATAATACTGCACGTGTATACATCCCATGCAGAGTTTTCAAGATTGGAGTGGTAAGTATGGTATAGTAAACAGTAACTTTTTAAAGTAGGATATAAATTTTGTCTTTGTATGTTTATGCCAATTTCATGTCGTAAACAAATTTAAAACACTAAAAACACAACACCCAAAACATGTCATACAAGAATGTGCAAAAATAAGATATTTCAAGTAATGATTCGTGATTATCCGGTGTTTTTGAAAATCCGGCGTCCCCCCCCCCGAAGCCGCCGGATAATTGATCTACTTTGTTTAATTTCTTAGGCACCATACGTAGACAACCGTACTAATCGGAGGTGCGGGGGATGGACAACATTGTGGTTGGTGAGCACAGGCCCAAAATCACCAAGTGGCCAGCAACATACATCGCTAATCAAGGTGTCATAGGGGAGGGTCGATATACGTTTCTTGACATGAGCAAGGTTACAGGGACTTGGGAATAGACGCAACGGGAGGATTTGTGTGTGTGCTTGTGTGTATGCGTACGTGGGGAATGGTGTTTCACGCAGTGTGCTTAGGTTTTATTTCCGATCATGGCTCACATCAGTGGTGATTATCTAAATTTTTTCTGTTCATCACCCCGGTCGATTAAGCCTTAAAATTAGTATCTTTTGTGTCGCAACATTTACAATCTTGGCTCTCCAACACACCGGTGTGCTGTACTAGTGACGAATTGGCATATTCTGTTTACGTGACAACCCTTAGTAGTTTGCTGTGTCGGGTGGTGGCGGGTTTTATCAACACATTTATATGTATACGCCGTTTAACCCACAAAAACCTCTATTATGGATGATATTGGTCGCGAAAGCCTCCGTGTTAAACTGACCTTTTTATATGTTCTATTGCAAGGCAATGAATCATTTATTTGTAGTCCTCACAAGAGATGTGTGGCAATGTAAGTTAAAATCCAAATTTGAATCCGTAGATTTTTGGTTGCATGCATTTGTGATCCAACTGAGGCTTTCAACTCCATTCACAAATGGCTGAAACATGGATTCAAACTCAGTATCTCAGCGGTGCCGTCTCTGTGCTTGGGCAATGAGTACAAGCCACTTTTACTGACCTGGCTGCCTCTGACTTGTGTGTATCACGTTATGTTTTCGTTATCACACTTCTGTCAGATCCCCACAAGCTGCAGGAGAAGCGCAAGCGAAAGGCCGATTCGTTTGACAAATTCCTGGAAAGCACCAACATCACCGGGCTCGGGACTCCGTCTGGGAATATTGCAGAGAGGAAGGTGGCTGTGAGCACTACCAGTTCGCAGAAGTCCAAGGAGCTTCTCCGCCAGAAGATTCAAGATAAAAGTACGGCTTGACACAAATTCTCCTACTACCACCAACACCGCAGTGTGAAGGGAGTGCTAAGCTGTCGGGTTTGTGTGTGCGCATGTATATGTATCTGTGTGAATTTACCTGGTAATGTGTAAACATTGCCACTAGGCAGACAAAGGCAGCCAGGCTTGGTATTGGCCACCCATCCCCCCCGCATGCTGTGCTGGCCTTCATAGTTGCTCGCTAACAGCATTTGCCCCAACAATCTTTTAAGGCTATACGAGGGATCCTTGTTTTTGTGCCATTCCTCGCCTCCTCATCAATAGGAGTTGAAGAATGGTCATGGCTTACACCCCCACATAAGTTGACCATCACTGGAGTGGCAGTGTGTAGTGGTTCGTGCGCTGCGCTACACACCCGGTCACCCGAATTCGATTCCCGCTCGCAGCCAACACGGGTGACGATCATCTGAACCAGTCCTGGGTCTCCCCTAGGTCGTCTCAGCTGGTGCGATGTGTAAATATCAGCACTGGGGAGACAAACGCAGCCTGGCATGGTGCCAACTGCACACCCCATCGTGTGCCGTGCCGTCCTAAATAGGTGCTCGCTAACAACACTCGCGCCAACAGTCTATTAAAGGCTAAGTAGTGTGGGGAGGAGTAGAGGAGTAGTTTGTGCGCTGCTCTACGATTACAACAACCTGGATGATATCAGAGGCAAAAATCTGAACTTATAAGTACCTGGTGTACTCATTGGTTTTTTCGGTAAAGTCACGTATGTAGAAATACAATAAAATTACATTAAAACAAAACAATCACGACGTTTCGATCACAACACAAGGGATCTTCATCAGGTGTCAAGAACAAATCATGGAAAGAACAAATCATGGAGGTAAATACAACAAAAAAGATGAGAGACGAGAATTTAACAAACCTAAAAAACATGTGAAGCACAACCAATCAGGCCAACAACACAGTTAGACACTTCCTGACGGACCACGAATTTCAGAAGAGTGTTAAATTTCGTGTTCAACTTCTGGATTGCAAAAAACCAGCATAGACAGAGTGAAAATACGAGGTGCATGGTCAGTAGGAAAGACGGACAGAGAGGCAAGGAGAGAGAGAGGGATGAACAGCAGCTTAAATAGGATATAAGGTTTGGGGGTGGGGGCCAGAAAGAGAGTGGCAGCTCATCTTGCGGCAGCTCTAAAACAGCACATCTTGCATATACACAGAAGCGGGGGGAGGGGGGGGAACAGGTTTGGGGTGCAATGAGTAATTTTATGCAGTCACGAAAGCTTTAATTACCTTATCAAGTACCTGGTGTGTTGTGTAAATATCAGCACTGGGGAGACGAAGGTGGCAGAGTGAAAAGCTGGCCACACCACCCGCACACACACACCCTCTTGCGTGCCGTGTCGACCTTGAACTATGCTTGCTAACGTTACCTGTTCCAACAGCCTTTGTATCTCTATGGGCTGTGTGCGTCGTTTGATACCTGTGGACTGCCGTTTCACAATCGGTTGAATTTGTCACTGGCTGTAGATGTTAAACTTAGATAAGTGCGGCTGCCTAGTGGTGCTTGTGGTAGCATTTCAAATCTTACTGAGCTGTAAAGAAGTTGCCGTTAGATTTTGGACGCCTTGAAGATTGAGGGACATTTTTCACGTCTTAATGAAATGCTCATAATGCACCGATTTTTTTTTACCACTAGATAGGCAATGGAAACATTGCCATATTTTTACTGAAAGTACATGAAAAAAAGTAATTGTAATTAGCTGTTATTTCAAATTAGGCAACATTTTCAGCAAACAGTTGACCACACAAAATATAGTTATGCAGTTTAATTTTGAAAGTAATTGTCTAGTTTTAGAAAATATGCCTTCTATATGAAATACTTGAATGGTTTAATACATAAATGAAAATGCACCATTACCATCCCAGTGTGGATTAATAAGTTACTAAGTATGTCGGACGCCATCATATTTTATGAGCGCTGATCAAGAATGGCGGATGCATTATTTGTAAATTAGTCGGTTGACATACTCTGCTCAAGGGAAAAAAGCTACTTTGTAATCGTACTAATTAATACTCGCGCCCAAAACCGTGGAATTATCCTTGCATTCAGGCCTCGTTACTCCAGTCAGCTTGCCACTGTGTAGAGCGCAGTTAATTGAGGGTTTTACAAGGACCATCGTCCCGCCTGGGTGAATAATATTTGTTGATACATTTACATTATTTCCGCTTTCTGTAAAGTCTTGCAGAGTTTTTACCACCTGTTCAGGGCCTCCGTTGCCACCGAGTGCTGCCCCAGTGACTATGTGATTGAGGAGACGCTTATCAAAGTGAAAGTGTGATCTTACAAATCGGCGTATCCTGCAACACTGTTGTCTCAGCCCAAGAAGCCTCCTTCATGCGGGGTGCTGGCTTCGTCTCCTCCCCACGCACACCGCCAGCCTCCGCCGGCTACGACGCGCAGCCCTCCCTGAGCGGCGTCACCGTCGCGCCATCCGTCCATCCCGCTATGCCTTCGTCGTCGTTGTCGCTGCTGCTACCCGCGGCAACATCAAAGGCGCCATCGCCCGGTCACACGGCGCGCCAGAGCTCTGTGGCTGTGAGCGCCAGCCCCAGCGTCGGCTCCGTGCTCGTGCTTGGCACAGGCGGCGGCCACTACTCGCAGAGCGCGCTCGCCGCTGACATGCAGGGCCTCAACGTCACCGAGCTGAACCCTGTACGGCCACCGGCAGCAGCGGCGGCAGCAGCAGCGGCGCAATCGAGGGCTGCCGAGAACCACAGTCCCCTGACGTCGTTCGACATGCCTGCCGCGACAGGGGGCGGCATCGACAGCCTGACGGCCATGAGCTTCAGCGAGTTTGAATTCCTCGGCAACGACATGTACCCGTTCGTGCCCAATGAAGACTTGGTGATATTCGCCACACCGGCCTCGCCAACGCTGCCCGCGCAACACGTGACTCTCACCAGCGCCGCCGCCGCCGCCACGGCCGCTGCCGCCGCCACAACCGCCACCGGCACACCCGACCCGGACCAGACGACATCGGTGAGTCAGCTGTCGCAGCAGCAAATCTCCGACGTGCTCAACATCATCCAGCACTCCATGCGTCATCAGCAGGATGGCGCCACTGCCCCGGAAACGGCCGCGGCAACCGGTGCCGCCCAGGCGAACTTTGCGACGAATTCGCCCGACGGGCGGGAAGTGCCGGCTTGGTCCGGCGGTGCAGTGAACGCACAGTCACAAATACATTCGCATTCGCCTGCGCCCGATCAGTCCCTGCAGGCGCCGGGAGCCGTGTACCTGGCAGGGCAAACTGGCTCCGGCCTGGGACCCGGCTACTTGTCGTTTCCCGACGATATGCGCATGGAGAGCCTGGAGCGGCTCGACAGCGCTGAGCTCAACCGGCTGCTTGAGACGGTGACCATGGACATGACCAACAACGTGGGCAGCGCTGACGGATTCTTGTAGAGAAATGGCGCCGCCCGTGAATGGTTGTTTATTGATGGCGGTAAACGGCCTTTATTTATAGGAAAACAGCCTGGGGTGTTGGCGGCTGTGGTCGTATTCGCAAGTTGGATGAGTGACGAGTTTGAGAAAATATGATTCGGCGTCAACTCGGCTGATTTTTTTTTTACCTGCTTGGCTTGCTCATTAGGAATTTGATGGTGGTCATCTTGTCGGATTAAAACGCACACCGGGCATGGGAATCTACTTTGCACCACTGGGCTCGGAAAACTGGCTCATGACTGAAGCGGAGATGAGTACCCACGACATGGCCAGTTTTATTTGGAAGCAAGATACATTGATTTATTTGAGAATTATCAATGAATCTCAGGACTTCTTAAAAGTGTCATGCCTTCATATGTTTGGCCATTTACTTTTTTTAGGTGTGTGCTTAGAGATAAAAAATAATGCACACATTTTTAAGAAACTACAAAGTCGCTTTTGTGGTATTGCAATATCCTGATCAGCTGACGGTCGTGTGATTTCTATATAGCCCCAACAACCCCACCTCCACGAAGCTCCGGGTTACAGAGCTGTGTGTGTGTGTGTCATGCCCGGAGTTTTGCCTCGCTGTCGTACAGTCGCGAATATTCATGGCCTGTTGTTCTGATGTATTTTCGGGCTGCCGTAGTATGCGCTGCGCTGCGATGATAGTGGCTGTACGTTTTATTCATCCACTGGTACCTATGAGGACCCGCCGCCACTAACGTGGAGAGCATCCATGCCGGATGATCATCGTAGGTTCCCTTGTGGTAGGATAAAGTGTGGGAATCTTGCAGTTTGTTGAAAGGCATCGTGGGGAAGTTAAGTTCAAGTCCCTTGATAGAGGGAGACTACTACTTCCACTTTTATGGTATAAAGACTGTTATACTTACATGCTGAGCTATACTGAGCATAATTGTCTTTTGCTACCCTCTGCTGATGTATAGAAGACACAAAGGTACTCAAATCCTTTGACTTCTTGTGAGCTGTCACACTTGAGGATAATGAATTAGCTCTTCAAATCGCACATATGGGCAAGACTGGATAGAGTTTTAGACTGAAAATCTAAAAGGTTAACTTTCAAAAACCCACTTTGGGGAAGACATGGGTGCATTGTTCCACCAGCCCTCTCCGATGTGTATTTATGTTGTGCCGTGTTGTTGCTCGTCACGATGTCCGACGTGTCGCTCCAAATACGAGGAACTTCTTCAGGAACCGAATTGAATTGAAGCTCCCACAAGCATGTGCAGCATATTGAGTGGAGAACTTTAATGAGTGAAGATCACAAGAACTGTAACCATGGTAGTAGTGATAATAGAGTGATAAGGTGGCCACCTATTGCGGACTTATTGAGTGGTCTGAACTTAACCAGCGAGTTCTGGAATCAATCGTCAACCCGACTGCTTTTCTCTTCAAATCTATCACGTACATTGAGGGTGGAACTGGGAAATCCAGCCCAGATTTAACAGCTTTTTTTCGACCTCCGAGGGGTGGGTAATGAGCCGAGTTGACCCCCCCCCCCCACCAGAATTTGTATTCGCAAATCCTTTTGTTTAATGGGAACTCTAACCACAGCCATGCAGCACTACCCAGCCAGGCTTATCAAGCACCGTCCCATAAGTAAAGAACACTAGGTTTAAAAAAAATCCCATTTTGTTAAATCCTTTGCTTTACTATGTTTTGACATTAGTTTTTAGGAATTCCGCTGCATGGCTGACTGGTGTTTTAAGGCACTAAGTTCCGCATACACGGTGCGAGTGTAAGAGCGCTCACGTGTGCTAAGGCCATTTTGTGTAAATACTATTGCCATGTCTTAATTGTGGACTGTGGTGGTTGGCGATGATGGTCAGTGGTGTTCAATACTCTTGCAAAAAATTTTAAGAATTCAGAGCATGTCGATTAAATAAGCCATCAATTTAAAAACACAGCTGTAAGATTCTATACAACAGGAAAAGCGCTGATAATCGCATGCACGTGGCGTGTGAAAACGCTGAACGTGCACACGTTGACAAACTAAAACACAGAAATCATCAGACCACGGGTTGCAACGTACATTTTTATTGTCGATGCTGTATAAGCATGGGGGGGGGCCATTTTGGCGCATTGAAAAAAAATTGTAATGAGAAATGGAACCGGTTTCTCCTCTCAGCAACGTGGGCATACATGGCAAGACTCGTGCTAAAACCTGAATCAATCGAACACGGCTGAAATTTCGTCAATGTTGCTGTCACTCGGATGTTGTGCTAGACGAAATCGTCGACGCATTGCAGGCAATCGAGCGTAGCAACGGTTGCAAACCATCTTGCGGCTGTTTAATTTATTTCTTTTGAGGCCAGTTTTCATGCTACATTACTCCGATTTCTACGCAAGCACGCAAAATGGTCCACCAGGGCAAGGCTCTTCTCATTTGGCAGCCCGGTGTCATGTGGTAGAAATTCCACATTCCTCGGTGTTTACTTAAGAATACTGTCAACGTTCCACAAACCAGTTATTTTACATACCTGTCAACCCCTTATCAGTGCCTACCTTATTGCAGACCAAATTCAGACCTTATTGGTCACACCGTGCCCTTATGAATCTCAACGTTAATCCTAAAAAGTCCCATCATAAGGGAGATACAAAAACAAATCGAATTTTCCTTGCCCCTATTGAAACGGCTGTATGCCGTAAGGACCTGAACCTGAACTCAATTTCCCTGTACAAGAATACGGGTAAATCGTATGGGTTGACAGGTATGATTTTTTTTTATTAACCCCTTAGTGATAATGGGTTGTGAGCTAAACTCTCAACTGTGATTTTTAAACTTATGATAATGATACTTGGCTGGAGAAAATGCTCACCAACTCGCCTAGTCTGTTGCTGGTGCTACTATTGCATGGCACACAGTGGGCCTCTGTTAACATCTGTGATAACATTTAAGTGATTGTCACAGGATTAAACGTTGGTATTTTTTTTTATAAAGCCGATTCACACCTTTGCAAAGCATCCTTAATAAAATACGTCACCAACTAAATTCGGTGAACGCTATAATGGTGCGCAGTAATATGCGGCTCACAATCGGAACCACTTTGTGGAAAGTCCTCTTGACAGAATTTCCCCCGCCATAGAAATGCAGAATTTCCACCACGGGCTGTAAGCAGGAGATAAGTGCTGCAAATTATATTTTTTGTTACTTGAAAATTAGGTAGAACCTATTCTCCTGGAAGCTATTTTTAAGATTGTGAGCCTCAAACCTGGACCTTGTGTTTCGCCAGTGTTTTAAACTTCCAAATGTGAGCAGTTGAGTGATTTGTGGGACAGTCATCAATGTTGACATATTTTCACTTATCTGTGGCCATTTCGTAGGTTTTATTTGTTTAATTAGTGCAAAGTTTTTTTTAATTAAAAAGAACTGGAAAAGTTTGGCATTTTAAATACTTTATAACGAAATTGCAGTTCTGCTGTTTGTCTCATCGCAACGTATTGTTTTATCAGCGGTGCACTATCGTGCTGTTATAAATGACACGTGTTGCCTTGTACATAATAATTTTCCTTTCATATATCTTGGTAGTTCTGCTATAAAAGCATATTGGTTTTAACCCTGCACTGAAGATGTTTTTAGATTCATTATTTTAAAACCTGGTGTATGTGATTTCCAACTTAAGTTAAATGTACAGCATTGCAATTTTTCACACGTTTTAAGCAAGCAAATCTGTCATTATTGGTTTTGTTCCACTACTGCCCTTCAACCTGGCCTGATTTTAAAATGCCTCGCACACATGCATTTGGAGTAATGCATGGAAATCGATAACATGAAAGTGAACCTACATGTTAATACAAAAAGGTGGAAGTTAGGCCAAAAACATTGGATGAGATTGTAGATTTAGCTGGTAAACGGTTTACTTGCCTTTTATATTTCGGCCATTACGGAGGCCTTCATCAAGAGACGTTGACTCCAGCGGCTTGTAATGTGATTTGTATCGTATTTTGCGAGACTCATTGGAGTTGACGGAGCAAAATGAAATACTAAAAGTGTTTTCTGTAAACAACTGCTGTTTTAAATCAATCCTAATAGGAGTTATAGGACTGCATTCATAACATACTTTCTAATTTCCCCCATTTGTTTAAAATAAAAGTTGTGCTTGTGTTATTTACGTCCCCCCCCCCCCCCCCCCCCCCCCCTTCAGGTATCATCCACTTGATGTAACAAACATAATTTTAACTTGGTTGCAGTCTTGAGAGAGAGACTGGCCCGTAGTATGCTTTTATAGAGATTATTTGTCTGAACAGGTAGTTAAGGTAGCATTTGAACAACACTTTGCCACGTAAGCTCGCCTGTTAATCGTGACTCCCACCGCTCTAAAGGAAGCGTGCTGTGCTTTGTGACAGCATGCCATGAACGTGCAGAGAAGCCACTCGCAGACGTTCGTTCGGCGCTTGCACACGACTGCAAACTTGAGTGCGTGTCAATCTAACGCATTCATGCCTTCACAGCCATGGGTGATCAATCCAGTGGCGGGGTGGCGCAAAATCTTGGGAGAAGAAATTGCTCGACACAAAAGTCCCACTTGGGAAACCCACACTTGAAATCGTATCCGTTGGCAAATCCATAGCTACCATGTGTCCAGTCTGTTACGATTCAAGTCGAGTCCTATGCCTTAACATGCAACACAGGCTGCCTCGCATTAAAAAGGGAATAATTTTAAGTGGTTGGCAGACTGTAAAGTCCAAAGGAGATTTGGTAATAGAGGTCTGGAACATGAAACTTTTAATGGGGACATGAAAATGTGTTTTTGCGAGTTTTATGGGCTTTAACATTCAACATCTGACTGCTCTAAAGCCATCTTGAGAAAATATTGGTATTGGATGTAATTTGTTCTAGCCCATGTCTTTGAAACCTTACGTAGTACGCATGCACAATGAGCCACTTTTGCTTATCGGGAGTGGAGTCTTAGCACTTTCAGTTGTTCCATAGGAAGTCTTGAAGCTGTTGTGTTAAAGGGTGTTCAGAGTTTATTGAATGCTTTGATCTATGCTTTAATACCAACAACATGGAAATGTGGACTTATGAATCAGGGACACAATGCAGGAGTAATTAAATAGTTTTCTTGAATTGCAGGCATGTGTGTTTCTCATAACTTTGTCATATCTGGTAAAAATGTTCAGTACATTGTGTGTGCTCTGTATATTGACAAGTAAATCATAGTTAAATAAAATAACAATTGCCTTCGATACCTGCATTCGCGTTTCTTGCAAATGTTAACTGTAGGCATGTGTGAAGTCACTTATATTATCGTTTTGCTCAAATAGACCCAAAGAATAAGACGAGTAATGCTCAAATTCAGCGGTCATTGCTGTAAGGTACACATGATAGTGGGAACCAGTGTATCCATGAACTCGCAACCACCTTCGAATTGAGTCAGTCCCTCTCACCTTGTGCCACTTGGCCAAACGGACAACAACTAGCTGTGATTTACAACCGGTGTGCCGCTGTGGCAAAGTCCCCTGGTGTGCCACGGGATTTTTGGGATTGCAGGAAAGGAAAGGACCTCGCTGTCCGCAAGCTGTGCAGTCGAACTCCTCCGTGCCGTTCAGTGGCTGATCCAGACCCCCCCCCCTCACCGTCCTCCCCTCTCCCATTGGTCACTCTTGCTCAGTACAAGCCCCACCTACCGTCCTCACCTTTCTTCCATTGGCCGCTCAAGCTCAGTACAGCCCTCCTACCGCCCTCCCCTCCCATTGGTCGCTCATGCGCAGTACAGCAGCCACCTACAACTTGCCTTCTCTCCCATTGGTCGCTCGTGCACAGTACAGCAACCAACCTTTCGGCCACCCTCTCTCCTATTGGTCGCACATGCACAGTACAGCACCCACCTGCAAATCACCCTCTCTCCCATTGGTCGCTCATGCCCAGTACAGCAACCAACCTATTGCCTACCCTCTCTCCCATTGGTCGCTCATGCTCGTTACAGCCCCCACCTACCATCCTCCCCTCTCTCCCATTGGTCGCTCATGCTTAGTACAGCCCCCACCTATTGCCCTCCACTCTCCCATTGGTCGCTCATGCACAGTACAGCAACCAACCAATCGGCCACCCTCTCTCCCATTGGTCGCGCATGCACAGCACCCACCTACAAATCACCCTCTCTCCCATTGGTCGCTCATGCCCAGTACAGCAACCAACCTATTGCCTACTCCCACCCACCTACAAATCACCCTCTCTCCAATTGGTCGCTCATGCCCAGTACAGCAACCAACCTATTGCCTACCCTCTCTCCCATTGGTCGCTCATGCTCGGTACAGCCACCACCTACCATCCTCCCTTCTCTCCCATTGGTCGCTCATGCTTAGTACAGCCCCCACCTATTGCCCTCCCCTCGCCCGTTGGTCGCTCATACTCAGTACACACTCCACCAACCGCCCTCCCCTTTCTCCCATTGGTCGCTTTGGCGCAGTACAGCCCCCACCTACCACTCACCCTCTCTCCCATTCGTTGCTCATGCTCAGTACAGCCCCCACCTATCGCCCTCCCCTCTCTCCCATTGGTCGCTCATGCTCGGTACAGCCGCCACTTTCCGCTCAACCTCTCCTATTGATCGCTCCTGCTAAGTACAGCCCCCACCAACCGCCCTCACCTCCCATTGGTCGTTTATGCTCAGTACAGGCCCCACCGACCACCGCTCTCTCCCATTGGTCGCGCATGCGCAGTACAGCCCCCACCTACCACCCTTCCCTCTCCGATTGGTCGCGCATGCGTAGTACAGCCACAACCTACCACCCAACCTCTCTCCCATTGATTGTTCACACTCAGTACAGCCGCCACCTACGGCTCACCCTCTCTTCGATTGGTCGCTCAACCGCAGCACAGCACCCACCAGCTGCCCTCCCCTGTCTCCAATTGGTCGCTCATGCGCAGTACGGCAGACGACCGTCAACGCCCACCCCCGGCCCTCTCAACTTCCTCGGCCGTGCACGCGCGGTTGGCCAAATAGCCCAAACCACCCACCCGGAGACCTGGGGGGCCCACAGTGATTTTTTTTGTTTGTGTCGCGTGCAGCGAAGATGGAGCAACGTTTGGATGTGTGCCGTGGAATGAAAAATAGATTGAGCACTGACATGAGAGTATACTGGATAGGACCACCAGGTGGGGCTGATGATGCACAAGTACGAGATATTCTCAAGCACTGCATCCCCCAATGTCCTTCATATGCTTGAGCAATGGTGATAATGCAGTGTATACTCTTGAGGGAGTAAGCAAGGAACGATTTCGCAAGCGAATTGATGAATTCGTTTCTCAATCCGCTTGTCCGCAGCATATTGAGTCGGGCCGTCCAGACCTTCCTTTCGCTAGCGACAGACTCTAGCACTACTACACTATACACTACACTACGATACACAGACTCTAGCTCTTCCTGGGGAATTCCCAGGCGTTCCCAGGCCAGCCGAGCGACATCGTTCTGCCAACGTGTCCTGGGATCTTCGCCCAGAATTGTCATTTAATTGGAGAGTTGATTTTCATTATTTCTTCATACTGCCTCGTTTTTTACCCATGCCATTAATCCAGTTGTGCTTCCTTCATTGCATAACTGTAACAACATCCATAACTGTAACAATATATAGTTTGCATAACAATAGCAAGCGTCTTATATAAATCCAATCTCATGCACACGATGGCATGCCAGCTATTGTGACTCGATTTTAATTGTGCAAATCGATGCATTGTTATATATATAAACCGCTCTTGCAGGACCCTGCAGATATGAGTCTTGAGACTCAATTTGAGGCCTTTCTGGGCGAATGATAAAGCATTTGAAACGATGGTGCAAGTTTCTTAAATCCCGACACCTCTGTCCACCCAGAAATATAAATGGATTGACCCTCGGCAAGCCATGTGTGGTGGCGGTTAACAAAGTGTGGATTCTCCCACCTGTCCCAAGATGCCAGGCCAGCGTGGAAGAGTAGGCCAACGTGCCTGCTTCGAGGGGGTGCTCTTTAGGGCTATCTCTGGTGGGAAGGCCCTTCTGCCAACAGTTGCACGAGCAAGCAATCGCAGGGCTGTACCTTGGCAAACCTTTAAAAATGTTGTTCCAAGATGTGATCGATCGGCTTTCACCAACTCGACATATTACGGTCGTTGTACACGTGTTCCAGTGCCTCCTTTTTCAAAAGCCGCACACAAAGGAGAGACAAGATTCACGAGTGGCGGTCCGTTTAGAATGCTACGCATAGCAGTCCGGCGCAGCATTAACAAAAAAAATGCTTCGGCGAATCTAAGGAATGGCTTCTAAAGCAGAACCAGGAGTGGATTTAGTGGCCGCATAAAGCCACTAATGCCCTTTTATACAAAACAAATTCTACTCGCGGTGATTTCACCGGGCATGCTTTATGGCACTGGACTTCAATTTAAGACCGAGTGTGGGCAGTAACGGTCATTGTGCGGGTGAAAATTAATATTACATTTAAATAGAATATTTAAAAATATATATACTTAAAACAAACTAATTTCGGGTCCTTGGTAGCATGACCTTGGATGTGCTTGGCTGATGCATGCCGCTAGTCCGTGAGAGTGATTTGCATGTTGGAACTATTTAGGTGCAATGCTCGGAGATTATATATTTTTATTGTCGTCATTTATTACCGCCTCACAATTAGTCGAGGCTGCTGTGGTGTAACGCTTTGCGCGCTGGGACTTGCAAATCCAGAGGTCGCCGGTTTCATTCTATCTCTTAGCGTGGCACTTGAAAAAAATACAGGTTTCTTAAATCAGCTCACCCCCGCGCGACCTCTATCCTCCCCCATCACCAACCCACATCGGCCAGTGTGATGAAGTATGGTCAAACAACCCCCACGACTGGGGGACAGAGAAGATTTCATCCAGCAGTAGATTGACCAAGGGCTGCAAATTATTATTTGAAGAAATAAAACCAACAGGATCTGTGTGCAGCATCCGCACAATGTGTCGTGGTACCGAGGCTGCTTTGCCATTGTATGCATTTCCATTTGTAATAGCTCTTCAATAATAACAGTAACTTTTTTTATTAACGTGACTCATTTTCAACTTGTAACGTGCCACCAAAGAGTTTTCGCTCGCTCTCTCGAAGAGAGGGAACGACTCAGAGATGCGCGAGGCACAACCGCAGATAAGCGGGGAAGGCAGCACCAGCCAAGCATTCAGCCGGCACCAACAATTAACCAAGTTCTGCAGTCTTCTTTGTATTAAGGTGTTGTCGGCCAATTAATGAGTTGCTTGCGTGTGGGAGGAAACCAGAGCACCCAGAGAAAACAGTACGTAAAATTCGTGATTTGATCCCATCTGTGAAAGATGTGATCCCTGACATGCAATACCCCGGCGTCTACTGTATAAACTAAGCTGTGTCTTCGGCAGTAGTTACATTGGGGAAACTAAGCGACATGTCTCGGACCGTGTTCGTGAACATAAGGCAGATCTGAAACACGGTAGGACCAATACCTCGGCCGTGGCTGATCATTGTTTTAATGCGGTGGGCTCACACGAAATTGATTTCTCTAAGATGAAGGTACTTTGCAAGCCCACTGGCTATCAACAAAGATTCGTTCATGAAGCCATCCATATATATAGACACAGACACAATTTCCACCGAGAAGATGGGTACAAACTGAGCAATCATTGGAAGGACGTTATCAACCAGTTTAAGTCATAATTGGGTGTGATGTTCCCATCCCACCACCTTCCGATTTTAGTTGTGCTTTACGCCCAATTGAAATTTGTGCTTTCAGTCACTTCGCGCACTGTGATCTCCCATTAACGTGCTAATCTCTCTTTAACATGCTAATCTCTCTTTAACATGCTAATCTCTCTTTAACATGCTAATCTGTCTTTAACATGCTAATTTCGCTTTAACATGCTAAGTTTCACCTGGCAGCCCTTTGATTGGTGGAAAACGAGCCACCGCCGGGCTCGCTGCCGAACACTTACATTATCATTGGCTGCTGACATTTGGGCTGCGCCCATTTCAAACCCTTATAAACAGTTTCCCTTGGAAGCTAGCCCCCCTTTTCCTGAAGACGACCCCCCCCCCCCATTCCTGAAGACGACCGCTTGCGTTGCGATCGAAACGTAGTTTTCTGTTATTTTTGATTATTTTGTTTGAACCTATCTACGTGACTTTACCGAAAAACCCAAGAATATGAATTCTTGCAGTCACGAAAGCTGTAAGTCAAGATTTACCTAGAGAAAACCCACGCATGTGAGG